AATACAACATACAGAGCCATTGCTTGCCATTGTAGCCTATTGAAATGCCGTTTGTTGTCTTTCTATTTGGGCTGTCAAATTTGCCTTTTTGCAAAGAATTGGATCCAGAATAAGAAAAGCTTTGATTACATTAATTTTGAACTCATGTCATTTGTCAAACTGTGGCTAAAAACTGAAATACTGTAAAAAAACAAACAAAAGTAATACAGTTTTTCTCGTTTGCCTTGACCTGGTTAAAGAAACTAGGTTCCACTTTATTTTCATTATCACTATCCCAGCAGAGCAGAAGACAGGTCTTGCAAATCATCACCTTTGAATTATAAGGTTCTGAATGATTTTGAGATATTGAGCTTCAGAGTTTTTGGACTCTGTAGCAAACAGTATGTGTGGAAAGACTCTTAAAATGTAAACAACTTATAAAAAAAAAATCCCATAATGTAAATAAGTTGTCATTTAATAAGAAAGAATATGTTAATACAGTTTTTCTTGATTGCTTTGATGCAGCCGTCAACTGAAACTCCACATATTCAAAACAGTAACCACACAGGCCCAAACAGCGGCACTCATGGTCAAAATGACACGATTTGCTAACAAAATGCACATACCATGTCAAAAACATTTAAAATATGCAACAAAAGTTAATTTTACCTTCAAACTACACAACTTGCAAACAAGTATATGAGCTCTTTCAATTAATCAATACACAATGGACAACAGAATACAACATACAGAACTCGTTTGTTGTCTTTCTATTTGAGCTGTCAAATTTGCCTTTTTGCAAAGAATTGGATCCAGAATAAGAAATGCTTTGATTACATTTTTATTGGATTCATGAAATTTTTCAAAGTGTGGCTGAAAACTGAAATACTGTAAAAAAAAAAAAAAAAAAGTAATACAATACTGTAAATATTAGAGAAAACACATGTAAACCAATATACAGTCAAATCTATTGGACATAGCTACTATTGACCTCCTCTATCCATGCTGGCACAGAACAACACAGAGCTTCCACTGTTCTTAATGTTTGCAGACTGATTGCTGAGTGAAGGTTGTGTGAA